TGATTTAAGTTATTATTATAGTATATATGTGAATATTCCGAAGTATGCTTTGCCGTAATTATTCGTCTTTCTTTAATTATTCATGTTCATTTATTGGTATTTTGATTATTTAATTTCTAGATTATTGTGTACTCGTTTTATTCACAATATTATTTAATTTTACATATACTTGCTCTTATCATTTTTAGCGAATGTTCGGATAACGACCTCATTTGACCTTACTTAGGTAGAAGGTACTTATAGCCATCTGACTCTGCTCGACCCAAAAATACATTCGAGCTATTTGTATTAATATCTTATTCAATGGTCTCCGTATTAGAGATTAATTATATTATACAGCTACTACGATTTCATATTGTTCGTGATTTTCGCTTATCTTAATCACGAATCTCACCTCATCATTATTACATGGTCCTTGGTGACGACCCCCAGCTGGGTATGGGCATGTAATTATCGTTAAAGTAATTAATATCAAGTTGTCCTTTATGTCCCGAGCTGCGCACTTATCGCTAGAGGCGATCTACGCGCCGCGCCGCGCCTTCTTATACGACTGTACGTGAGAGATTATCGCTGGTATTTCCCAAGAAGATGGGATGCCCAATTTGCGTTCTGCGTATGTTCGTCCGATGATATCCCTTCTACGGTTGGGCCCATCATTACTATTCCTCAGGGAATCTATTTTAAGATTAAGTGCCACTTACAACCACGAGGTTTGTCTCAGTTGTCTCAGGGAAACTGACCCAAACCCGCTTGCATCTGAGTTGCTCTGCAAGCTTAGTCTGTTCTGCAACAGACCAGTCACCGTTTCATTCATTTCACGTACTAATTAAAGTTTCCATTTTTTATAATTTCGCATAGTAGTTGATTAATATTGCCATTACCGTAAGTTTATCGTTATTAGCGTGAATGTTTTTTTTTCGTGCAGTCAGATCGGTTATTATTTTCATTAAACTCAACCCACATTCCCGCCCCCGTCTACATACTTGACCCCACCCCCCTCCCCACCCATACCTCTTTTACCTTATCTCCCGCCCACCCACTCCTCCTCCCCTTCGCTTATTTCTTCCAACTTCCACGCCACCCTATTCCTTTTTTACTCTCGCTCTTACCTTGACAAACTACTAATGACTAACAAAATCTATCAACATTCTATTTTCTACTCGTGCGCTATACTCTGACTCACTCATTTCATAACCCACACCCATTAACCCAACTCGTCTACTCACCACTCACGCAGCCACATGCGCACATCGCCCCGAAGAAACCCGTTAATTGCACAAGAATTACAGGCGTACTGTTTCCGGAAGATAACCGACTTGCGCCAATCGTGTATTCTTGTCTTGCATTACGTTCTATCGTGCAAATGTTGTCTTGAGAAAGCATATTTTGATGTAATGAGTCGCTCCCGAAGTATGAGGACTGCATTACCTGTTTTCATTATTGCTTTGCCTCATATTGTTGTTGGTGACGTGTGATAGACAACTTCAGTGAAATGAGATACATTTACTATTAGTCAGACGTATACGGTATGCACTATTGTACTGCACTTCTGAACTCTGCATTGTTGCATTTTTATTTCTTTTTTCCAAGGAAGTTCGTCGTTCAAGACAAGTCCTTGCGGACTGCGACACCTTTTGCTTCCTGGTAGTTCTGCACAATGCTTCTCTCTTGTAGAGTTTCATATCCTGCTATCTGAGGCAATTGCAACTCAAGCAAGTCCTCGCGGATTATTGCAATTGTCTCCCTAAGCATGTTCCTCTGTCTATCCTTGGACAGTGAATTATTGAAAAAGTAAATAAAATTTGAAAAAATCATGCAAATAATTGAATTAACACTGTCATTGCAATGTGATATATTTTGATTACATGTCACGGCCCTTGCTATCACACAAACCCTCCCCCCACTGTTTGCCCTTCTCTCTCTGCCTCTGATGTGCTTTTTTCTGAGAAAGCCAGCACCTTCCCAGTTCAGTTCAGTTCAGTTAGATTTGCGAAGTCATGCTTCGCCCGGGCCTTTTCTCTGGAGTGGCCCGGCCTGTGTTAACTATTTCTAGTTAGCTCAGATGTTTTCTTTGAACTGCATGCTTATCGCGGTGGCTGGATTGCAAGCAAGCGATCCAGCTGCCACGGAGAAAGCATGTTGCACACCCTTTTTACCAGCCTGGCGGCTGTGGTGGGTGGTCCCTGCCTCAGAAATTGTGTGTGTACACAATTCTGCAAGTAATGTAACAGGGTGGCGTTAGGCTCGCCGCAGTGTTTACATAACCTCCCAGTCTCATTGTCAATAATTTGCCAAGCGCATTGGTAACCTAGTCTTAGTCTGAATAGTATGACTTCGGTACCTCTTTTTGTATTTGGAGGAAGGGCCAGTGGCTCATAGCCTGAAGCATCTGAGTACCACTTGGCAGCAAGCGATTTTGTGATGTTTTCTCTATGTGCTCCCCGGGGGACCGCACACGCTGCAGCTTTGGTACCTTGACTCAGTCCCCTTCGGCTGGGTTTAACGATCATGGAGGATGGGGGCATACCCCTGCCCTTTTCGGCTAGTTTATCAGCAAGCTCGTTCCCTTGTATGCCTATGTGGCTTGGACCCAGTTTATGATGATTCTTCTACCTTGACTAAGGATTCTTTGGGCTATGTATAGTACTGTTGTCAAGAGGTAGAGTTATCTGGGGGCATGCTATGCTGTAAGCTGTCAATAGTTGCTCTTGAATCTGTATGAATGACAACGAGCCCTCCCCTCAGGGACGCGTGTGTCAATGCTTCCATGATCGCAACCGTTTCAGCCTGAAGCGTTGAGGCATTGTCAGTGACCCTAATGGATGCTGTGGTATCCTTTGTTGCAAAGCCGGCGCCTGCAGTATGGTTTATTGGATCCACGGATCCGTCCGTGTAGTAAGTTATACTACCCGGCGGAGTTATTTGTTCAATGACCCTTTGTGCTTGTGCCTTTAGGCTAGGCATGGAATATTGTACTTTTCTCATTGTGAGATTTAGAACTGAGAATTCTATCATTTTCGTTGCCCACGGCGGGGGTTCTTTGTAATCAGGGTGAGGGGAGTCCATACCCTTGGCAAGCAATGAATCTTTTAGTTGAAAGTGTATCAAAACTCTGGCTGTATGTGTGAGCCAGGAATTGTCCGCAAACAACTGGGAATCTTGTTGTAGGCGTCTGAGAACTCTTTGTCTTAGATAAGAGTTTGTGGGTGCCTGCAGGACCTTGGAAAGGAACTGTGCTGCCATTAGATCTATTCTAGTGCCCATGGACGGTAAATCAGCTTCCATGAGGAGGTTGATGACCTTTGTCCACTTAGGTTCACCTAGAATTATCCTGGCTGCTTCGTTTTGTATTGTTTCCAGTTTTTCTTTTAATGTTGTGCTGGAAGCAATGAGGGCGACAGATGCATAGTCAATAATAGGACATACAGCATGTACATAGAATGATCTTAGTACTTTGTGTCCTGCTCCTATGTGTCTCCTGTCATGTCTTTCATGACTGAGTCTTTCCTTGGTTCTGTCAAGCAGGTATTGGATCTCCTTTTTTGAAAGTGAGTGTGTGTCCTATCCATACACCAAGGTATAGATAGTCCTTCACCCATTCCAGATCCATACCCTGTATAGTGAGTTTTTTTGTTTCTGACATTGGTTTTCAGTGCCATTGCTTTGGATTTTGCTGCTGATATTTTTAGACCCGTCCTACAACACTTCAGACACCAGGTTCAGACAACGCTGAGCTCTAGTAATGCAGTGATTGCCAGAGGTTATGATTTCCAAGTCATCTGCATAAGAGATGATCTTGCATCCCTCTGGCAGGTGAATGTCGAGTATGTTGGACATGAGGGTATTAAACAGGGCTGGACTAAGAACCCCTCCCTGAGGAGTTCCATTTTCAAGTGGCATGTGCTGTGAGAGGTGGCCTTGAAATCTGACATTTGCTGATCTATTTTTAAAATAGCTATCCAGGCCAAGAGTCTGCCTTTGACTCCTTTGTGGATTAGGGTCTCTTGAATGGCAAGCGGACTTGCCAACTCAAAAGCCTTCTCCAGGTCAAGGAAGACAACCACGGCGGGCGAGGTGCAGATTGTGCTTAAGAGTGTGGAAATGCTATGAGCAGTGCTCTTAACCCTTGTGAACCCGTGCAGGTGTTCATGGGGGAGACCCGTTTTCCATCGGAGCCTGTTGAGTACCATCTTCTCAGCTGTTTTACTCAGGCAGCTGAGAAGAGAGATGGGACGGTACTTGCTAGGCTCCTTTGGTTTTGGGATGAGAACTATTGTGGCTTGTTTCCAGCTCTGGGGCACCGTGGCTGTTTGCCAGGATTTGTTGATAACCTGCAAGAATGAAAGTTCTCCTGCAAGGCCTAGATGCGAAATGATGGGGTGAGAGATCCTATCAGATCCCGGTGCTGACCCAGAACTGGATTTGTATGATTTTCTTAGTTCCCTAAGAGAGAACAAGGCATCCGTTTCATCAGCTTCGAGTGCCTTGTCTCTTATGAGAGCAAGTCTTTCTGGATTTAAGTTTTGTTGTTTTCCTCTCATCATTGGAGGCAGATTGTTGGTGCTGGTTCTGGCAGAGAACTCAAGCACCAATCTGTTAGCCTCTGATTGTGGGTCATGATGAGTGCATTTCGGGGCTTGGCGGCGAAATCCCGTCGAGGGCGACGGTAAGTAGCGTATGCCGTGCGATCGGAGGAACAAGGTTTACCTTCCCGCGTCTTGACCAGGGCCCACGGCCCTGACCAGACCTCCTCTTGGGGCTCCCCACGCGCGCCCCGCTCGGCGCGCCTTTGGGCTCCCTTTGCCCACAATTGCACCAGCAGGAGACACAGCCCTCGCCACGCTAACAACCCCTGCTATCAATAAACAGCTGAACCAGAATTGTGTCTCAATAAACCCAACAAATCAGGGCAACACAAAAACCCTGACAGAAAGAGAGAGAAAAAGGAAAATCACAGCCATACATTCGAACGCCCAAATAAAGGTCAGTCATAGAGTGAATACTAAGAATAACGTAACTATTTATTGTCAGATCTGAAGCCAACTGAATATCAGCTGAGCTACAAAAGGATTCATCTTCAGAGGCGAAAACATGTTCAGACGGTTGAGCTCCTGAAATCTTCATAGGAGATTACCGTCCCTGTTAGATGCCCCGTCAGCTGATTCTCACTTCCGGTCTCCGTTGTTTGTTGTCTTTTTCCTGAAATGAATAGTTATTTACTTACTCTCTCTGAATGATTTTTATCATTATTTTGATGAGGGCAGTGATTTATATACCTTAACTTTTCTCGGAAAACTATATTCATCTGATGATTATAATGACATTAGTGCGTAAATTATTTTTCTCGATTTTATAAATTTCTTTTTTATGCGATATTCATCTAAAGAACACGATGGAAATACCTAATGCCTTAACGCCAGTCCCACGAAGCACACCTCATTACCCAATCCAAGAAGCTAAAAGGTGCTTAATTACCTTTTTAAAATCATCGAATACGTAAAACTTTTATGAATTCCCTTTACCGCTTTCTGTTCGTTTTCTTCCCTTGATTTTACCGCTCAGAACTGTTCACTTACTCGGGTTCGTTCCACGGCTGAACCTTATCCGTCATGAGAAAGAGGTAAGTGGTACACATGACGAAATAAGTGATAGCGGTGACGATGAAGACGACCCGCCAGGCGCCTATGGTTTGCTGTGAAAAGTCGGCAAAATAAGTGGTTTTATCCTCGCGGTAACAGAAGGGGGGGGGGGGGTAAATGGAGGTTGTTTTGTCTCTTTTAATTATGGAATATTTCAAATGATTTTAGATTAGTGGGTGATATAGATTATGCTATATTTATTTAAGCAATTAGGTGGCATCATAGATTTTAGGCAATGTAGTATAAGGAATTCTATCTATCTATAGTTATTAGATGATTATAGATAATTTTAGTGCAATATTCAACATACATAAACATTACAACATACAAAAACACACACATACATACAAAAAACACACATACATACATACATACATACATAAAGAAACACATACATACAGAAACAAGCATATGCATACATACATGCCTTAATACAACCATATATGTGTACATACATGCATACATAAACAAATGCATACATATATGTGTTTGTACACACACACACACACACACACACACACACACACACACACACACACACACACACACACACACACACACACACACACACACACACACACACACGCAACCCGCCGCACATTGCCCTGCGTGACGTATCCCGTGACGGCCGGCGCGACGACTCCGGCCACGGACCCGAAGGTGTTGGTGACGCCCTTGAGCGAGCCGGCCAGGTTGGGGGCGATGTCCTGGTGGGAGGAGTTGTACCCCGCGAAGAGAGTCCCGCTCGCCCCCACCGCCGCGCACAGGAGGCCGATCACCAGCGCGTGGTTGCACTCCACCAGGCACAGGCACAGGAGGAAGGCTGTCTGGCCGTAGGAGGCTGGGGAATGGGAGGGAGAAGGAGAGGAAATTAAAAAAAAGGAAGGGATGTATAGGGTAGCGTGGTGTCTTCATGTTCAAGCGGATGGAGGAGGTCAGTCAGTCAGTCTCTCTCTCTCTCTCTCTCTCTCTCTCTCTCTCTCTCTCTCTCTCTCTCTCTCTCTCTCTCTCTCTCTCTCTTCTCTTCTCTCTGATTTATCTGTCTTAATGACCCTTTCTGTCTTTGTGATTCCTAATTATCCTATATTATCTTAGAGTTAAGCTTCGAACGCTTTATATTTTTTCTTTTCGTATTTATTTTTATACAAGAAAAGTGTGCCTTGTTCATTTGTATGTTTATATGAATATCAACTTCAGTATTTTTATGTATAAAGTTATATTCGTTTTCTAGTGCGAATGACTACACACATTGTTCACGTGAAATCAGGTCAGGTCCTGTCAAACGGTGTATACCTCACTTTTATAATGACCCCTATTAGCCTCGATTTTTTTTCTTTTCACATTTCAGCAAATTTATACGTGTATAATATTGTGATTTTATCATTATCCCGTTATCGACATATTTATGATAGAGTGATGAATTTACTTCTGGTTTACAAGAATATATCGTCTGTAATAATATTAGCCTAATTCATCAAATTAAATCGTATGATTTTAAGTTATTATTATAGTATATTTGTGCATATTCCGAAGTATATTTCGCCATAATTATTCGTCTTCTTTATAGATATATTTTTTTTCATGAATCATTCATGTATTTAATTTCTAGATTACTGTGTACTTTTTTTTTCACAATATTATTTAATTTTACATATACTAGCTCTTGCTATTTTTTAACGAATATTTGGATAATGACCTCACTTTGACCTTACCCAGGTAGAAGGTACTTATAGCCATCTGACTCGACCCAAAAATACATTCAAGCTATTTGTATTTATAGACCGATTCGGTAACGCCTAGCAACCGCCCCTAGCAACGAGCACTTGGTGAAAACAAAGCCTCCTTCGATCGAAAAATCACCACGCTTTGCTTACAAAGTTGCTGAATTTTTTCTGAGAATTTCGTTTCTTTGCGTGAAAATGCCTAGGAACTGTGTTGTCGCTGGTTGTTCGAAACACAACATGATGGGAAAGAAAGGTTTAACCTTTCATATATTCCCAGATCGCGAAAAGAAACCTGAACAATGGAAGCGATGGGTAGGCCTACAGACCATGAAACGCATAAAGGCTGATGGGAGTGCTTGGGCGCCTGGTGGAAAATGTTTACATCTGCTCAGAATTTTATTGATCTACATATTAATATATTACACCTTTTCAAATTTCAGAGACAGATAATTACATTCATACTCTTGTCCATCTACACTACCTATCAAGGCCAAACAAGATCAATATTGTCGACATTAGGTTTTGGCAGCATGTATTCATGTATTCTAAAAGCACAAGAGCAATTATATTATTTTCATTTTATTCCTTTTTTGTAATAAATTGATTTATCACAATTTATATTTACAGGCAAACCATCCCCGGATCCACTTCACCCAGACTTTATCCTAAGTGCCTTCAAGCACTGTCCAATAAATGAAAACAAAGCAGGTATACAGTTGCCTGTTGCCTTTGTCTGAGATGTCATATGGTCCAGTAGAAGAAACAATTAATAAGGGCTTATCTCTTGAGGTCAAATCATTGAGATTATTGCTGGTATTCCCCAAGAAGATGGGTACCCAATTGCGTTCTGCGTATGAGCTGGATGATATGTCCCTTCTATGGCTGGGTCATGATGTCATCACTTTCCTCAGGGAATTTATTTTGCATATTTTGATGTAATGAGTCGCTCTCAAAGTATGAGGACTGCATTACCTGTTTTCATTATCGCTTTGCCTCAAATTGTTGTTGGCGACGTGTGATAGACAACTTCAATGGAATGAGATACATGTACTATTAGTCAGACGTATACCGTATGCACTATTGCACTGCACACTTATGAACTCTTTTTTTCCAAGGAAGTTCATCATTCAAGACAAGTATATATATATAATATATATATATATATATATATATATATATATATATATATATATATATATATATATATATATACGGATATATACAATTTCGGTTTATTATTCGTATGAAGAGAAATGCGAGAAAAGTTCAAAACATTACATTTATTTTCATATTTGTTAACGAGTCTTGCTTTCTTTAAGTACGAGTAATTGTCCCACTTAAATTAAATAATTAAAAAAACGCCAAATTCTGTTGCCAGCTTACCGAAGGCCGTGGAAACTCTCCTGACTGTTTTGACTGACATGACTTTCCTGGCTGCCAGACGGTCCAGGATGACGCTCCACACAATGCTAACTATCCACATGGACAGGTACGGGGCCGCTGACACCAGGCCGCTCTGATGAAAGGACGGGGACGAATCAGAAGTATTGACTGGTTTGTCGATTTTCATTTCTGGGACGGATTTCTGAGTGACTAATTGCTGGATATTGTGAAAATGATAGTAGAAATATTTGTTTTAAAGAGGTGCGTGTATGAGTGTGTTGTGTGTTTGTGGGTGTGTTTTTTGTGTGTATTTTTTTTTTTTGTTGTGTGTGTGTCTGCCTGTTTCTCTGTATGTCTTTGTGTATAGACGTATGTATAAACCTATCTGGGTATACATATTATGCATGTGTCTATATCTCATCTACGAGTATGTACGGGAGGGAAGGAAGGAAGGAAGGAAAAAGGAAGGGAGGGAAGGAAGGAGGAGGAGGAAGGGAGGAAAGAAAGGAAGAAGGAAGGAAGGAAGGAAGGAGGAAGGAAGGAAGGAAGGAAGGAGAGGGAGGGAAGGAAAAGGGAAGGAAGGAAGGAGGGAGGAAGAAAGAAGAAGGAAGGAAGGAAGAAAGGAAGGAAGTAAGGGAAGATAGGAAGGAAGGGAAGAAATGAAGGAAGGAAGGAGGGTATATGAAAACAACACCCACGCTAGACATCTTGAAGTGCTGAATGTTCCTGAGGTAAGTGGGAAGGCCAGCCATGAGAGTGTAGAGGCCATAGCTGCTGGCCCAATTCATGAGGAAAATGGCCCAAAAAGGAGGGGACTTCGCGATCTCCCTCCAAGGAATAGGCACTAACTGAAAGGTAGAAATTTTAGGGATAAAAGCAGTAATGATGATGATGATGATGATGGCAGTGATAAGATTGGTAATGATGATAATAACAGTAATGATACGGATGATGATGAAAATGATTGTAGTAATAATGATAATAATAATAGTGATAATGATAATGATGGTAATGATGACGATGATAATAATGATAATGATGATAATAATAATAATGGCAACCATACCACTACTAATGACAAAAGCAATAATGATAATAATAATGATGATAATACCAATGATAACGATGAAAATAATAACAATCATAATAGTAGCAGTATTAGTAGTGTTAATGATAATAATAATAGTAATAGTAATAGTAGTACTAATAATGATAATAACATAATAAAATTATAATTATGATAACAATAATGATATAATGATAATAATTGTAACAATAATAATAACAACAATGATGATAATAACAATAATGATGATGATGATAGTAATAGTAGTAGAAATAGTAGTTGTAGCAGTAAGTGATAATAACGATAATAACAATAACAATGATGATAATAAGAATAATAACAATAATGATAATAATAATAATAATAATAATACAATAATAATAACAATAATAATGATGATAATAATAATAATAACAATAATAATAACAATAGCGATAATAATGATAATGATAATATAATGATAACAATAATAACAATACTAATAATAATAATGATTATAGTAATAGTAGTAGCTCTAAAGTAATAATAACAATAACAGTAACAATAATAATAATAATAACAATAATTGTAATGGTAAGGTTTATAATAATAGTAACAACAACAACAAAATGAAATAGAAATAATATCTATGAATAAAAAAATATAATAATAGTAATAGCAGTAGTAGTAATAGTAATAATAACAATGATAATAACAGCAATAGTAATAATAATAATGATAATAATAAAAATAATAAAAAAAATAATAATAAATATGAATAATAATAAATAATAATAATAATAATAATAATAATGATATAATGATAATAATAATAATAATAATAATAATAATAATAATAATAATAATAATAATAATAATAATAATATATAATAATAATAATAATAATAATAATAATAATATAATAATAAGATAATAATAATAATAATAATAATAATAATAATGATAATAATAAAATAATGATAAATAATAATAGAATCAGAAGTAATCGGGTATTGCTCATACGAAAGCATCCACCACTGCATGACCCCACAGGACACCCAATCGAGAACTTGCAATTGCCATAACGAAAGCTCACCCATGACCCCACATGACACCCACATGACACCACATGACCCCTCATGACCTTACATGACACCCACATGACACTCATGACACCCACATGACCCCTACATGACCGACACATGACCGACCCTTATGACCCCTACATGACCCTTACATGACACCCACATGACCCTCACATGACCCACATGGACACCCACATGACCCTTACATGACCCCCACATGACAGCTATCTTTTAACTCCGATAATAGCCTAAATTAGCTCTTCAGAAACCCCCTCTCGTGTGAAGGCTAAATTAACGTCCCATTCTGTACACGGTGATTTTTTTCCCCCTTCAACCCTCCGACGTCATTTCCTCAACCTTTCTCTTATTTCCTCCTTCCTCAACCTTTCTCTATATTCTCCTCCTTCCTCAACCTCACTCCCCCCGACGTGCATCGCGCCTCACCACGTCGCTCTTGACTTTGTTCTTGCACGCCCGCAGGTGCCGGAGCTCCGAAGGGGAGATCCGGGGGTGCGTCTCCGGCCGGTCGTGCACCAGCAGGAGCCAGAAGACGCCCCACACGAGGCCCAGCGCCCCGAACACGTAGAACACGGCCGGCCAGCCTCCCAGGAACCCCGAGCTGCACAGGACGCCGCTCAAGGACAAGGAGGCGATGTTGCCCAGCTGAATGCCTGCGGGAAGACGAAGGGCGTGGGGAGAGGGCGGGGCAGCGGTGGGCGGCTGGGGCATAGCGGTGGGGCGAGCTTGCCTCTCTAGTCTACTCGCGATTAACTATGGCTCAATACGCTGTATATGTATAGATAGATAGATAGATAGATAGATATACATATACATATAGATATAAATACATATAAATAAACACATACACACACACACATACACACACATACATATACATATATAGAGTATATATATATATATATATATATATATATATATATATATATATATATATATATATATATATATATATATATATATATATATATATATATATATATATATATATATATATATATATATATATATATATATATATATATATATATATATATATATATATATATATATATCCCTTTAATTCACCAGCTCTGGTTCTCTTCTTCTCTACCTCTTCCTTTATGTTTCTCCCTTTCTTTCTTTTCCATCTCTCATCCCTGTCTCCCCGTCTTTTTATCGTTATTTCCCTTTCCTCTCTTCTTCCTTCCCCTCTCTCCTACTCCCTCTCTCCCTTTCTCTCTCCTTTCCTCCGGTTTCTTATCTCCTTCCTTCTCTTTCCTCGTCACTTCTCTCACTTCCTTCCCCTCATCCTATCCTTCCTGTTCTTACTCCTCTCCAATTCCCCTTTCATATCCTTTTCTTTATTGCTGTTACTTCTCTCCCCCTTCTTTTTCTCTCTTTTCGTCTTTCTCTCCCTCCCCTCTTCTACTTTCTTTCCTATTCTTATACTCTTTTTTTCCTTTTCCTCTCCCTCCCTTTTTTCCTCTCCTTCGTCATCTCCTTCTCTTTTTTTCCATATTCTTCTCCTTTCCTTCCTTCCTCCACCTACTTCCTTTCTCTTCCCCTTTTCCTCTCCTTCTCTTCGCGTTCTTTACTCCCGTCTTTCCCCTCCTTTTTCGCTCTGCCTTCCTTTCTTCTCCCCAATTTCCCCTCTCTTCTTTTTCTCCCCTCTTCTTCTCCTTCTTTTACCGTTCTTACTCCCCTCACTTCCCCTCTTTTCACAATTTCCTCTCTTTCTCTTACGCTCCGTTTCCTACCCCTCTTTTCCCCTCTTCTCCTCTCTCCTTTCTCCTCTTCTTCGCCGTCCCTCACCTGTGTGCACGAATGTAGTGAATTTTCCTCTCTCCACGGGCGACGTCCAGGTGGCTAGCATCGTGTTGATGGCGGGAAACATCACACCCTGTGGACGAAAGCAAAAGACAGACGCATTTAACGGGAACAAAAGAAAGATACAAACGCTGTATGGTGGACGAAAGCGAAGGACAAACGCATTAACAGGAACAAACAAGTTGGAGAAAAAATATACATATACATACATACATATATATGTGTGTGTGTGTGTGTGTGTGTGTGTGTGTGTGTGTGTGTGTGTGTGTGTGTGTGTGTGTGTGTGTGTGTGTGTGTGTGTGTGTGTGTGTGTGTGTGTTACCAATGTCATTTACCTGTGCAAATCCCTCCACGATGCGCAGGACGACGAGGACCTCCATGGCCCACCTGGCGCAGAAGGGAGTGATGAAGGTCAGCAGGGCGCTGATCGAGATGCCGAGGCCATACACCAGACGCCCTCCGAGGTACTCCGCCGCCCGCCCGCCCAGGAAGTTACTGCTGGCGTAGCCGTAGAAGAAGGAGCCCAGGATCAGCCCCTGCTTCCGCTCGTCCCAGTCGAACTCGCCCTCCTGGAGGAGACGCGGAGCTTCGTCGTCAGTTATGAATGCACCAAGTGACATGTTCCTTGAATCTGCTTCTTTTCGTTTTCTTTTTTTGAAGTTCTTTTCCTTCTTTGTTTTTGCAGGTTTTAGATTAACGTGTTGTACTTACCAGTCCTTGCCTGGGTGACGCATCAAAGTCTTCTGGTATTGGGCACACGTCGCCATCTTGCGCGGACGTGTTGGCAGCCATGGTGTGGTTGGGCGCCCTGATCCCCACCATGGCGACGATGGCCATGGAAAGGCTGGTGCGAATGGTGTACGCGGTCGCTGTGCCAAGGAGCCCCATGAGGCAGAGGGTGTGGCGGCAGCCCCACCATTCCAGGTCTTGAGGAAGAAAATCACATGTTGAAAATACTCCCTCGTTACTTTTTGAGTGGACTTTAGATTGTGTATCAGTGTATTTTCCTACAGTGCTATCGTCAGTGTATGCAAAAAAGATACAGACTGACTGATAAAGAGAGAAAAAACAGACACAACAAAAACAGTATAAGACAAAAAAAGAAATGACACAAAGCCAAAGATATGCTTAATAATCTGCCATAAATAGAACACATCAACACCCCCCTACTTCCCCGAGATTTCCAAACAGAAATCCAAAAATCAAGGAACTTCCTACTTTCATAGATTCCGGAATCCGACAGCTCGTCCCCTTCCTCCTCCTTCCCCTCCTCCTCCCCTCGCTCCGCCACTCTCAAGGGGACCTCCTGCTGTGCTGCTCCTGCCATCGCCTCCTTCACAGGACTTTAGAGACCGTATAACTGGATATTTTGGGTCAGCTCGTTTGGTATCTGTTGGGTACAATCATACTGACATCAATACCCGTGTTGTAAGTGCGTGGCTTATCAGCAAAGATTAATGTTTGGGTAATTCGGAGCATGTTAATGATGGACGTGCGCTGGTGTGTGTGTGTGTGTGTGTGTGTGTGTGTGTGTGTGTGTGTGTGTGTGTGTGTGTGTGTGTGTGTGTGTGTGTGTGTGTGTGTGTGTGTGTGTGTGTGTGTGTGTGTGTGTGTGTGTGTGTGTGTGTGTGAGAGTGTATGCGTGCGTGTGTGTTAGAGGTGGACCGGATGTTGAATCTTTATTTTAATAATTACGAATACGGAAGCGGATAATCAGCAAGAAATTTAGCCACAGATAACTTCTTCTTAAGATGCTGACAGATGAGTAAAAAAAACATTGCTATAAATGCTCGGTCTCAGAGACAATATACTTTATCTCTTGATTACAGAATAAAATATGTATGATGATAATCTGATAAACCTCAAGATCTTACACTTGAAAAGCAATTTAAAAAAAAAAACGTGATAAGGATATATGGCACAGCGATAGTCTCAGTTCTTGTTGGCAAGGAAGTGCTGGAACAAAATAAACAAAAAAATCAACGAAATTAAACAGGTCACGACGATTTTTCTCATTTGGCAAATCTATTCAATGTTGCTTTCTTTCACTATGCATCGGCTTTGGTATCAGTATATATATATATATATATATATATATATATATATATATATATATATATATATATATATATATATATATATAATAACATCCGTTGTTTTTTCTTGGTCACTTTCTTTTCATAACTATTTTTTCTATCGTCACGGATTACGATGATAGTGTTGGTAATTACGATACGAAACCAATGCCAAACTAATCACAAAGCTGGCCAAAGGCGCTCACTCGCAGCTCCACGTTCGACCCCCAACTGAATCGGGTTCACCAACTCAAGAGCCTCACTAATCTCGATGATTAGATTCATGTTTTCAACGTACTCTTCACACACGCACGCACACACGCACACACACACACACACACACACACACACACACACACACACACACACCACACACACACACACACACACACACACACACACACACACACACACACACACGCATACACAAAGTAATATTTTCATTGATCAACATAAACATGCACATGCATTCAAAAAATCACATTTGTGTATGCGTGTGTGTGAGTTACCGAAACGTTATATAGTCTCGAAACGTCTCAGTAATATTCACACTGAACTTGAGAGAAATATGAAGAGGCATTGCAAGACTTTTTCGTTTGGTTTCAGTATCGTGTTTAAATGATGTAAATTCTTTTTTTTTTTGTTGTTGTCGATAAAAGTTGTAGTTTTCGCAAGATTTAATGATTTAAAGTAAGTTACTGGTACGAGATACTAGTGATGATTAATGATTCTTTATTTTCAAGAGATTAAGTGATTATTGAATTGTTTTTATAATCCAAAAATATGTCCTTAGAAAGTGACTAAAATAAATCGAATAAAAACGTCACGATATCTATTTCATTTGCATATAGCTTTCGTTGCCACTTCTAAGAATTACAGTCAACTAAATGTATTAATAATTACAAGAAAACTAAGAAAATATATTAGACTTTTGTCATCATCGAATAATCTAGACTTTATTTAAAACACACAGCTCTCTCTCCCTCTCTTCATTTGGGCATTTCTTAAAATCACTTAAATATCAAATCGCTCTCACATTCAAATCACCAAGTAAGAACAGCCATATACCGCATACACTAGTAGCGTATAATCCAAAATGTAACTATTTCCAAAGATGAACAGAAGTAGGAATCGAACGAAAGAACCACACGATGCGCACTCTCCCTCCCTGCTGAATTTCCCGACCTAACTGCCGAATGGCTTAGAAGGCCGCTGTGACTTGGCTTGTGTGACCCTAATGCGTGCAATCTGCATACGACGCCATTCGCGCTGTAAACAGAGCGCTGGTGAACTCAAAACTGCCCGTATTCCAAGTGCATGATGCTTTCTAGAAAATCGGTGTGTGCCAATGATGTGAATCATACCTCAGCGAGATGGTACGGATTGGAGAAGGCATATGTCCAATAGGCTGAAAGATAATATACGTATACATATGTATGTATGTATCTACATATGTACATTTATGTATATATAAATATATATGTGCATTATATACATATACATTATATGAATAAATATATGTGTGTGTGTGTGTGTGTGTATGTTTGTGTGTGTATGTGTGTGTGTGTGTGTATGTATATATGCATACATATATATACATATCTATATATGTGTGTATGTGTAAATGTGTGTGTATATATACATATATATGTATATATATGCATATATATATAATATATATATATATATATATATATATATATATATATATATATGTGTGTGTGTGTGTGTGTGTGTGTGTGTGTGTGTGTGTTTGTGTTATATATATACATATATCTATTTATATACACAAAAGTCTGTATGATGTATATACACATCTCTCTCTCTCTCTCTCTTCTCTCTCTCTCTCTCTCTCTCTCTCTCTCTCTCTCTCTCTCTCTCTCTCTCTCTCTCTCTCTCTCTCTCTCTCTCTACATATATACACACACACACACACAACACACACATATATATATATATATATATATATATATGTGTGTGTGTGTGTGTGTGTGTGTGTGTGTGTGTGTGTGTGTGTGTGTGTGTGTGTGTGTGTGTGTGTGTGTGTGTGTGTGTGTGTGTGTGTGTGTGTGTGTGTGTGTGTGTGTGTGTGTGTGTGTGTGTATGTATGTATGTATAAATTGTATATGTGCGCAAATCATACACATTCTTCTTCTTAAATAAAAAAAAAATGTGCTGTGAGTATAACGTTGTAAATTGCTTAAACACTTGTTGACTTATTTTCGTTGATAGTAAGAAGAAGGGTGTTTTTTTGTCATTTACTTCTTTCTTTTAATCGTGTTTTAACATGAAAATTATTGTTTGATATGACTGCTATTATTTCCCACGTGTTGTCATATTGCTGCCATTACCACCGTCATCAAAGTAAAGATGAGGATAATAACGATAATGATTAAATTGATAGTGATATTGATGACAGTGATGGTACCAATTTTAGTATTTCAAATAACGATAATAATGATAACGAAATGATAATCATCATCATCATTATTATAATCATTCCTAATACCATGCCTCTTCTTCCTATCATCATCATTGCCATTTCTCTTATTAATCTCATTATTATCATTACTATTATCTCTACCACTCGTTATTGTTATCACCACTGCCATTACTGTTATCATCATCATTATTATTATCATCATCATCGTTACTAATATCATTATTACTGCAATCATGATGTTGTTGAAAGCTAGAATTCGTTATCGGAAAAGTATTATTGCTGTTTTATCATAATTATCAACACTATCACCTCCTTTATCGGTGTTACAAGATGTTTAGCTTTACCATCCCTGCCCCTTTTAAGCTCTGACTGTTCTCTCATGATAATGTTGATGATAGTTATGATAATGATGTTGATAAAGGGGAGGAGGAGGAGGATTATGATAATGATGATGATGATTAGGAAGAGGATAACTATAGTAATGAGGATAGTAATGATAATAATGATGATAATAATAATAATGATGATAATGATAAAAATTAAAATGAATATAATACACGAATAAAATTATCCTCTTGTAGATTGTAAGAGTATGTAAGTGCAATTTAGTCGGTCATTATTTAAGGGTAAAATATTTGACTATCGCAAATGTAAAATAACCAGGATCTCTCTCTCTCTCTCTCTCTCTCTCTCTCTCTCTCTCTCTCTCTCTCTCTCTCTCTCTTCTCTCTCTCTCTCTCTCTCTCTCACACACACACACACACACACACACACACACACACACACACACACACACACACACACACACACACACACACACACACACACACACACACACACACACACACACACACCACACACACATACACACACACACACACAAACACACACACATTCACTAACCCCAGTTAAAGGAAGTACCGAAAGAAAAGAAAAAATGTCTAATAATATAACATTTGTGTTAAAACTTAAGCAATGTCTATTTTTCATCAAGGTCTTTCAACTACGTGACCGTTTCTTAACACCGAGCAAGACAATCTTAAAATGTTATCTTGGTGTTAACATTATGAACGGCTGGCAGCTCAGTTTGCAGCAGAAATATAAGTATAAGTATAAGTAATCATACCTTTCTATAATTGTGGCAATGTACACTGTTCATCATTATTGTAGTTATCATTATTATTGTCAGTAGTAGTAAATATAGTTGTTATCATTATTATTGTTAGTAGTAAGTAGTATAGTTGTTATCGTTGTATTTGGAGCAGTATCATCATTATTATTTTGCTTTGTCATTGTTGTTGTTGGACTGGTGGTAATCAGTATTATATATATATTATTCGTATTATTGTCGTTGTTACTGTTGTTATAATTCTCATGAACATCATTTTTATCAGCAACAGGATGGAAATGAGGATTATCATCATCAAAAACACACCATTATTACAATTTCATTGTGTAAAACTCCCTCATTAGTAACGAAGTATCCTAGGTATTAATCAAATTTATTTACCTCATAATGTTTATTTACGAAATATTAGAAATCAAAGAGCTGCTGAGGACAAAAAATGATTCCACAATCAGATAAGTAAGACCATCTTCAAAAAATATACAATATTTTCATGTCAGATATGTAAATCACGGCATATGACATCGAACAAAAAGAAAAGAAAAAATAGCCATCTAACTCCTCCCAGCAATGAGTCAGCAGCATCTCGGTTTCCTACACAAAATACTAATCACAATTCGTCGTGTGCGCTTTCTGATTCTTGGTTCACTTCGTCCATGGTCTTTTGGTGATGGTAGGAGTGGATGCGGCGCAGCATGTCCACCCGGGCCTCGGAGGCGAATGGCGCGGGGGCGACGGTGCTGCCCTCTGGCCCCCACAGCAGCGTCTCCAGCCCGTCGCTCGTGAAGAGTGGCCAGCCCTCCATGGGTATTCTGCAGTTGTTTAATTGATGTGTTATTGAACGTGGTGCAAAAAGGCTTCTAGAAATGTTCAGACTTATTTCATCTGTCTAGATGGAGTACTGTAAAGCACCATAAAGTCCTACCTGCCATAAGCGAAGTCGCTGAGCATGTCGACCATGGCATTGCTGACCTCTCGCTGTTCGGGCGTGAGGTCAAATTTCTGGTCGGGGAGGAGGAGCGTCGTTTCGTCACCATGACCTACCGCCGGCGGCATAGGCGGCGCCTCCGCAGGGTCAGGGTAGCGCAGCGAGAAGAGCTTTGGGCCGCCCTCGTACTCAAACCTGCAGAAGGCGGTGCGTCAGGGCTGTTAGTTCTAATATTTTCTGTGAACTCTGTGATATTCGCTTTCAATCACATTGAACAGTCAAACGACACTGAAGTGGTTGAGTTAAAGACTCATTTTTGTATAGACAATACAAGTATTTGGACCTGACATGTGCGCAAGACCCTTTTATCAAATAATTAAAAATGGAATTGAGAACATTAGTCGTAAGAGTCATGGTGATTAACACATGCTTGTGACTGTCGGGATAGAGATGGCGATGTGAGGCAATAGAGCTGTTACTGGCAAGGGTTATATAGGTCTTGGTTACTGGCAATATTATATCCGCGCTCACCTGAGGACCCGGGTGGGCACGTGCTGGGAGAGCAGTGTGGCCGCTGACAAGACTCCTGCTCTGTACTGAATGTCTCCGAGCATCTGCGAAGTGCATGGACGTGTCAGAAGCGTTGTTTGTGTATGGCATATGCAGCTGGTCGCTTTT